ATATATATATATATATATATATATATATATATATATAAAATTCACAGAACTTGGCTTTGGGAGAGAAAATGGTTCACAGTTGCACTGAGTGAGAAGCAGTGCAGTGCAAGGCAGAACAGATTGGTATATGGGCAGAGTAGTTAAGTGTGTCCTCCACTGTCAAGTAGTGGCTTTACAGAGATATATGATAGCAGGAAATATCTATTTTATGTTTATATTTCCTCCACCAGCCTATGAGTATGATAATCCTGAAATTTTTCAGAAGAAAAGCCAGCCTAGCTGAGACATGTGTATGCAACTTCATCTGCTGAAAAGAAAAAAAAAAAAACATATGAGTTCTCAAGTTCTTTGATAGTAGAAGTCAATCCTTTTCCTGATGCAGGAGTCAGATACAAAACTCTACACAGAGTTTCAGCAGTGCTGTTCTGATCACTGCAAGTTACAGCATGTGTGTCTTCCTCACTGTCTCTCAGATTGGGTGATTAAAGAATTCACTGATGTTCTCTCCCACACATGATTATTTTCTGGGTGTGGGGCAGATCACGATGACTAACAGCATTTTCAAAACACTCCTGGGACACTGTCATACATTAAAAAATAATTATTTTGTGAGGAAAGGAATTTATGACGCCTGACTTCCTGTGGGCGTTTGTGCCTAGGTTAATAAGTTGCCTCTGCTGAACCAGGTGCAGATTAAGAGGAGGATTTCAAATACTGTTCCCTTTTGTTGATGCTCTGATGTGAAATGATATAGCTGTTCACAGCACTGTGAAAACACAGGTCTCATTCCACTGCCTGATTTTCCTTCTTGGCAAAAGGTTCATACAGACATCTGCCCTTTCATCTCATTTGATGGAAATTATGCAGTTAATTCAAAGGTTACGTTTTGGTGGGGAGGTTGTGTGGGACCATCTGACATACAAAAGTATTTCCTCTGGAAACAACACAAGGATTTATAGATTCATAATGACTCAGCACCGTCAGCACTTTTAAACTCAACAATCTGTGCTAGGACTTGTCAGTGTTATGTAAACATAGTTGTGATTGGAAATGAGGCTTGTGCCTCATTTGTGACTAATCTACTGATTGCAGAAGAGAGGGGAAGGAAGTGCTAACCAGCCTGAGGCAGGCATGGAGCATTCCCAAAGTCGTTTTATATAAGTGAGTTGACCTGCTCTACGTATATCAAGATCCCCAAACTCAACAAAAATGCAGAAATAAAGAGAGGCTATACGTGAGTTTCATACTTCAATCCATTTACATGATGAAAGTTTATTTTACACGATTCAACATCTTCATATTGTAATTCTTCTGCACAAGGTCAAAGGCTGCATGAGTCACAGGCTTCGGCACCAAGGCAATATATTGGACATTTTAGGTATGTGGAGACAATGTGTCTTTATTTGCTCAGTTAGTGTTTTTCAAAGTAAGAGTCAAGTTCTCCAACACCTCACAAAAACAAAAATTCAGGGCCCAATCTGACATCTAAAGCATACATAATGCCCCTAACTCTGAAAACTAATGAGCAATAGTTCCACCAGGAATAATTCCTGTATACATAGATAACAGTAATTGCCCCAGAAGGTAGTGCCAAGACTGAGAAAAGGTAAAGGTGACTTCTCTCTTTCACTGTACATTATTAGAGATATCAATGGGCATAGTAAGCTTAGCAAAATTAAGGCAAGTGATCGAATTTTTGTGCCAGGGAGTTTTCTTATTTTGCTCATATATGCACACAGGTCTCCTTGAACATTTCAAAGCTGATGAGCAGAACAGCATTTTTAAACTCTCTGAAGCAATCATGGCAAAAAAAAACCCACCACAGATAAATGACCAACATGTATTTGATTTTTTTTTGCCCAACATATATCAGAGATTTTTCTTTATGACTGACAAGTGCATTGCAATCAGAAAAGAACCAGAGCCATTATACACTTACCGAATGATGAGTAGTTCAACCCAGACCCTCACAAATGCAGGTAATGGGCCAAAGGCCTCCAGGATATAGGTGTAGTGACCACCAGATTTCTTAATGCATGTTCCCAGTTCAGCATAGCAGAGGGCACCTGTGAGAATACAAAATAGTGCCAACATGAAAGACATCCAGAAATACCTATCAAAACATTTATAGCCTAAACAACAGAGCTGCCATGGTATCACAACTACTTTTTACATGTTTTAATTTTTTTTCCAATTAATTTTGTAAGCTTTAATTCATTCAGCTAAACATGCAGCAAACCAAACCATTTATCCAGTTATATTTAAAGCCACTGGACAAGCTATTTGCAATAAGTGTTGTTACTACTCTGCATCTTGTGAAGAGGGACAACAAAACGGAGCATCATACCAGCCATACTACTTCCCAGGCAGTCAGACTGCACCACTAAATGAAAGATTTACTTGTTATCAAGAGTTTATCCACTCCTTTTAGCCTTAGAGATGGCTGGCTCAAACTCTGAAGGTCTGAAATCTGCATTACTGCTCCTCAGCCATGGACAAAAGCAACCAAATGGCCAAAATTTGGAAGCAGGATCTGCAGAATAAGAATTTTCCTCAACAGTACTCCTAACATCTTAAATACAAAACTCAGGGGATGGCTTAGTCACGGCTTTTCAACACTGGTGGAGTGTTTTTGTGTACTACAAATGCAGTGAAAGGTCAGGAATCATCAGCCAGTTACAAAGCTGATGGTTCACAGCTCCACAGGTGGGCCACATCAATAGTGTTCCACAACCAACAAACAGAGGCATCCCTCTTGGAAGACTCTGAGGAGCCAGGAATAAACAGTAATGAAGTTTTCTAGCATTGCATCAGGCAGAGTTAAGATCAGCAACACAGACAAACTCATTTCAGCTCTCTTCCCCGCACACCTTTACGTCACAACGCTTTGAGATAAGAACTACAGTTGTCAAAACCACATCACATGTACAAGCCCATTAAGGCTGTACCACATGATGACAAATTCTCCAGCCTCGTTCATTTGTTCGTTTGGGGCTTTGCAAAAATGTGGCAACTTTTATCCGTTATTCTTTAGCTTA